GATACTACCTTAAAATTCCTGATGGCCTAGACAGGAGAGAATAATTGAAAAATTCTGCATATTGCATGTCAAAGTGCATGATGTATGCACATTCTGTCTGCATGTAGTGCATTTAGCAACACAAATATTTATTCACATGTAATTCGTCCAAATGGTTAAATTGCAATATCTACCTAATTAATTGCTCAAAGTTCTGTAAAAATGAATCCATTTTCTCAATTAATCATGAGAAATGTAATTACATCTGCCAGCCAAATGCAATAGTATGTGCTTAAAATATAAACTGCCAAAGAACTGGTATCTAAATGTAGAAAATGAGGGATAATTTGTGAACAAAACAACACATATTAAACCTATTAACATTGCTTCTTCTTTAATTAATTTTGGTACTTACAGGCTTGTTAAAGTACATCTACTTTATATCAATAGCAAATATTTATGTTAAGTGTATCTACATCTACATGTATGTTAAAGTCAAGAGACAAAGCTAAGTAGAGCAAAATTCACCAGAATTTATTTCAAACAAAGGTACTGGTAATGCTCAAAATTTTTTTGAATCCTTAATACAATTTACAGTATTATAAATCTATGAGTTTATTTTGAGGTTATAGCAATATTATTATAAAGAACAGCTTTGAGAATCCCCCCTTTTTTTGCCAATGAACATATTTCTATCTATCCAAGGGCAATTAGCTACAATATTTTTTTTTTCTTTTACTATTTTTAAAACTAATATGTACCCTACCCAAGAAATGCTGTCCAGAGATCACTCACAATGCAATTTTATCTTGCAATTATAAACCTTAGAAGACTCTAATTGTAGCTTACCCCAAATGAATATACAGAAATGATTTTACATCCAAACTTAAATTAATATCATTTTCTAAATATCAATACACAATATCTCCACACAGGATATCTTGTCGATTTAAACAAAACATTGAACTGTTAATTAGCCGTAAGTGTAAGTCATTACAAAATGTATTATGTAAAATGCCAATCAAGTAAATTATATTCAAAATAAATCAAAGTTTTCTGCCAAATTTATGATAACAAAAGTTCAAAGAACTTCATGTCAATCAACTCCATCAATAATGAAAAAAATAAATTCATATCCAAAATTAATTATGAACAATTATTCTGCACAAGCAAAACAATGCCCCGTACCAGCAGGAACATTGGTCCGAGTACACAGTTATTTCGTAGTGCATTTCTTTTAGACAATAAATGAAAATTAAAAAAATCCCACCTGCGCTTTCTCAATAATATTTTTACAGTGTGTTGTACTACTTTTGGGACAAATTATATCAAAATTATAGAAAACTTCATCGGCTCTAACTCAAAATATGGACAATTTTATGTTAAGGGGGTCTTCAAATCTTTTGACAGCTTCCGAAGTGCTAATTTTTAACATTTTTCAGCTGGACCAAATCACTACTTTACTTTAAAATTCATGACCCAATTTTTTTTACAGTGTCATTTCACCCCCCTACTTGCTATTTGAGTCATAAAACATGGAGAAATAAATTTGGAAGGGGTATAAAAAAAAATGGCAAGTAACACACTGTCAACACTAGGGACTACATTTGTGGACAACGAAAATCAAAGGACGATAACTGTGTACTCGGACCTAATAGGGTAGAAAAAGTTGACCAATCTTAATGAAACTTGGTATGACCAAAGCTTAATAAATTATAAGACTGCCTACAACGTTTCATGGCAATAGGACATATATTATAGACAATATGACTAATTCTATATTCAACTTTGCGTGTTAAATGTAGACGTTAAAATTGAAAAATTTCAACTATCAACATTTGGGGCTTAAAAAATTTAAATATTGCAAAAAAATACTTTTGAAATGCCTTAATATATAAAATATTATGTATTAAAAGCAATTGAGTACTCATTTGATTTATCAGACTTATCATAATTATAAAAAAGTCAAATTTATATGAGCCTGTGCCTAAAAATGGAGGTTTTCCAATGAAGGGGGGGCCTTACATGAAGATGTAATATTTTCCAGCAATTTTAAATTTGTAAAGCTTTTTGGTTATAAATAATCCTTACATATATATTTAATGTACTTTAAATGGAAAGAAAACTCACAAATAACATATCATATTAGTTTAAAAGGGTCTTAGGCCAAGTAAGACTGAAAATAATTTAGGGTCAATTTAGGCCGTAGCACATATTTACATTTAAAAATGCATATTGAAGCTATAGGAAATAAAAATTTGTGTCTTTTCTATCATTTCTATACTCAGGTGACATGATACAATAAATCTGAGCACAAAAAGACTCTTGCATTCAACTTTTTTTGCTGACAGTATGGTCTGATACAAAGATTTTTCACTTTTTAGTGAAAAACATGCATGCAATTTTAGTCGCAACAAGCTTATATTTGAACCACTTGCTATCCTACAGAAGAAAAGAAAGATATTATGTGACATGAAACAGGTACAAAAGACATTGTTAAGTGCTTTTTATACAAATTTAGTGAGGTCTTTATTATGGACTTCAACTTTTATGTTCCAAGCTCCTCACATTTAACTTGATCCAAACAGAGCGTTAGACGAGGGTCATATATACAACACATTTTGTACATATTGTCTGAGATAATCTTCTTTTCTGTAGATTCAGAGTTCACAAATGAGTAATACAACTGGATTGAAGCATAGAAACACAAATATTGACACATAAAAACCTGTCAGATAGAAAGTCAGAATGCCACTTATGCATCAAAATTGAAAAAGCTATGAAATGCTTATTTTGACCATAATATGCCCAAATTGGTCATTTTTGCAGAAATTCTATCAAATAAAAGTTTAAATCCTTTAGTTTTATGCTATTTGACAAATTGACATCATCAAATCATTCAGGGAAGTTGCCAAAGTACAGATTCTATATTTCCTGATTTCACCTCTTAGGTCCGAGTACACAGTTATTTCGTAGTGCATTTCTTTTAGACAATAAATGAAAATTAAAAAAATCCCACCTGCGCTTTCTCAATAATATTTTTACAGTGTGTTGTACTACTTTTGGGACAAATTATATCAAAATTATAGAAAACTTCATCGGCTCTAACTCAAAATATGGACAATTTTATGTTAAGGGGGTCTTCAAATCTTTTGACAGCTTCCGAAGTGCTAATTTTTAACATTTTTCAGCTGGACCAAATCACTACTTTACTTTAAAATTCATGACCCAATTTTTTTTACAGTGTCATTTCACCCCCCTACTTGCTATTTGAGTCATAAAACATGGAGAAATAAATTTGGAAGGGGTATAAAAAAAAATGGCAAGTAACACACTGTCAACACTAGGGACTACATTTGTGGACAACGAAAATCAAAGGACGATAACTGTGTACTCGGACCCATTGGAAGAGTTTACGCTTACATGGGCAACGAGTCCCATAGGAAAAGTCTTGTGTATTATCAATTATAATCTAAAATAGTTAACAATCTTTCCAATAATATTTTTTAGTAAAAATAATTAATATTGTATATATCCACTATAACATTTCTGATATTAATACAAATTATAGTAACTGTCTGGCATCCATATTTTTGAACTCTGTATGTGGGAATTACTTCAAGTTCATATTGCATTTAAAATTAATGAATTATATAATTTCTAGGTTTTCATGTTTAATAAATTTAATACTCTCTTTAATTTGATCATAAAATTTCTAATTAACATGATTAAATTATTGATAATTTGAAGAAAATTATGTTAATGGAATGGATATTAATACTCTGCCACGTCCTGTCTGTGTTTATGTTTGATGTTTCTCTTCTTTGTAATGATCTGATGAGTTGAGCCTTTTCCAACGGACTTTAATAGTTTGTTCTTATGTTGTGCTGTTACACCACTGTCCCAGGTTAGGGGAGAGTTGAGCGCTCACAAACATGTTTAACCCTGCCACATTCTTTATGTGCCTGTCCCAAAGTCAGGAGCCTGTAGTTCAGTGGTTGTCGTTGGTTCATGTCTGTCGATCATATTTGTGTTTCATTAATTGTTTTGTTATAAATTAGGCCATTCGTTTTCTCAATTAAATTGTTTCATAATTTTCATGTTTCAGCCTTTTATAGCAGACTATACGGTATGCGTTTTTCTCATTGTTGAAGGCCATACGGTTGCCTGTAATTGCTTACATCCACTTTATTTGAACTTTTATGGATAGTTGTCTCATTGGCTATCATACCTCATCTCCTTATTTTTATAATGAACATTATTATATTACATTTCAAATTATGTAGCTTCAACATGTTACTAAATCAATGAAGATTTAACATTATGCATCAGTTTAATTCGGGGCCTCGTGGCCGAGTGGTCTAAGTAGTTACTACTGTAATCACTAGCCAGTCAACACTGAGGTTGTGAGTTCAAACCCTGCTCGTGCGGGTGCACTCGACTCCAATCTTAATTGACTAGGATTGTCAGTTTTCCTATCGAAGGTCAGTGGTTTTCTCCGGGCACTCCGGCTTCCCCCACCAATAAAAACTGGCCGCCACGAAATAGCCCAAAAGCAGTGCTTAAAAGTAGCATTAAAACACCAAAAATCAAAATCAAATCAGTTTAATTCTGCTCAACTGTAATTTCTAGTCTAGCTGAAGAACAGCAATAAAAGCCCTATTCCTTTGCATTGGGTTCTGGTTAATCTGTGTGAAGGAATTTGAATATAAATCATTTTAAAAGTAAGTTTAAAAACATGTATCTGATCATTTTTTTATCGTGAAACAGTAGATTTTCTATATCCTTTTGGCTTCATAAAATCATAATGCATATATGGCTGCCTTTCGAACGTGTATTATAGGCCCGCTTCAAAGTACAAAAGTTCTAAATTGTCCTATTAGGATCGAAATAATGTTATCATGCCACGCTTACACTCAGTATAAAGATTCATTGTATTGACAAATATAATGCCTACCCTTGTTAAAATGAGCATAGAGCAAGGCAAGAATGAATTATTTTTTAAATTAACTATGACTTACATAATCTTCCAAAACTTGCTGATAATCTCTTCTTTAGTTTTTTAACCTTACTTATTTGTCTTTTTCCTGAAATTAGAAAGAAAAATTGCATGTTATTCCAATATACTTAATAATTCCACCTTGCTTCAATTGTAACTAATTGTTTTTCTTTAAACACTTGCCACATTCAAGCATCAAAATATCAAGTTTTTATCGACCTCACCTTTTTATACATTGCGTAAAATGAACCAATTGATTCTGAAAGAATTTAAAGAGTTGAAAAAAATTATATAATAAGTATGTGTTATCCATAAGATCTATTGATTGTTTGGTTGTTGTTTGACCAACTTAAATATCCTGGATAATTATTCCATGCACATATACATATAGATTCTGCAAAAAGATATACTGGAACATTGGTTCCTATAGTCTATTATTTCTAAAGCTCAATAAATGTGAAGTACAAGTAACTTAAGTAATCTTTTGTCTACTTTCATTATAACGCTACTTGTGTGGATCTAACCCTATTGAAAAGGGGGCAGGTTTCAACCCCACCCCCACCCCCCACCCCCCTGGAACACCATGAAATGTTCACATAATTAAAAAAAAATATGTATAAAAAGAAGGGTTCCGACCCAGAACCCCCCTCCCCCCCCCCCCCCCTTCTGGATCCACAAATGCTTTCTCGAAGGTTCTAATCAGAAAGGTTTAGATGTACTTTATAACCTTATTTTAATATTTGAATTATTACTCTATAAAAAAATTTTAAAATGTATATATATATACATTGTATACACAGGTGTTCCAGTAAAAGTTTCATTCTTACATCATCTCCTCAATAAAACTATCAAAGTAAGAATGGTATCTAGGGAAAATTGTTTTCACCTACCTTTCAAATAGTTTTCTACTTTGAGTAAATGTACAAATATCCTTTTTTAGAAATTTAAGTCAAAAAGTTATTGAAAACAGAAGGTCAACAATTTTCAATTTAAAATCCTGTATTATCTTAATCATCAACCAACATTGACCAAGGCTGATGTTCACAATCTTAATCATCAATCAACATTGACCAAGGCTGATGTTCACAATTTAGTCAAAAAAAATCATGCCTTAAAGTTTGTTAACAACCTCTAACTTCTTACTCCAAAAATCCTGCTGTTATTCACCACCTTATTAATTTTTCAAACATAATCATGCCTTTATTCACTGCCACCTCTGTTTTCACCATTACACACATACTTGTCTTATAACAGACATTCAACGTCAAATTAAAGGAGCTTCTGATGTTTCTCAGAAGTCAAGATGCCTCTTACATCACATGTGAGAATATATTCAAAGCCACATGCCAATTTTCATTATAATTAGCAAGTTATGAAACAGAATCATGCTTTTATTCTTTCTTGCAAGTTATATTTAAGGCCAAGCTTTTGAAATTACCTGTTCTAATTTATATGTTCATTTCAATAAACATCCCATTAGTCTAAAAACCTTTAAAAACAGATACTGTGGTACATAAATTTTTGGTACATTATCTTTCATTGTATGAATAAAGGGCGATGTGGGGAATACAGGTCAATGAGACAGCAAACCAGTGACATAAACAGGTCAATGAGACAGCAAACCAGTGACATAAACAGCCAAAAGACATCATTTAACATAAATGAGTTTCAGCATGACTGAACAATTATATAATATCCTGAACCAAAGTTCCCATCATGGTAACATAGTATGGATAAAGATTTTCTATTTGCCCTCATTGACAATCTTATTCAAACACAGACCCCTATGTCTATGCTTCACCTTCAACAATTTCTTTTTAACATTTTGTTTTAGAAACCTTTTCAAGTATTCCCAGGTTCTGTCATAATGATAACCACCCTAAAAATATGCAGCAATACATTTCATTGGTCAATCAACATATATTTGTTCCGCCTATTTTTAAACAGAAGTTCCCCTGGAAAATTTGTTAGAAACAGTCATAATATCTGTTCCTGCTGGAACAACTATGCTATTCTTTTATTCTGTTAGGAACATTAATACTGTAATATTTGTTCAAGTGAAAATAATATGCCAGAATATTTCTTCTATTTGAAACTAAAATTGTGAAGGAACTTATTTCATGACAGGTTGATGTTACCAGAAAAGAATGCAGAACAGAGTATTGCCAATTCCTTCTAGGCAAAGCAGAGTATTGCCAATTCCTTCTAGGCCAAGCAGAGTATTGCCAATTCCTTCTAGGCCAAGCAGAGTATTGCCAATTCCTTCTAGGCCAAACAGAGTATTGCCAATTCCTTCTAGGCCAAGCAGAGTATTGCCAATTCCTTCTAGGCCAAGCAGAGTATTGCCAATTCCTTCTAGCCTAGTTCTAGGCCAAGCATGTACACAGGATCTGTATGTCAATCAAGTTATAGATTTTCTTGCCTTACTTAACAGTGCACCTGTCTATCAAATCTGACAAAAAAAACTTTGATGGTCTTTTGTACCAATAGAATCAGTTGTCAACAATAAAATTCAATCCATGAACTGTCAATAGTCTTTTTAAACACAGTGTTTTTTTTAAATGATAAAACATTTATTTATCCACATTTTGGAGAACTTTTTTATGTTAAGTGAATGCTAAAAACCTAATAGAAAATCTTGACTAATTTAATAACTAAATGGCTGTATAAATATATAGCACCAATTAACAAGTTAACCTTGCCTAATCTTTGATCTGCCAGTAACGTTTCAATGGTCTTTTTAAACACAGTGTATTTCCTGTTAATTAATTGTTTTTCTTGTTTCACCAGACTCCCTAGTATCAAGATAGATAAATTAGATGAATAATTTCAAACAGTACAAAAGATTTTTCATTTACTTTGTAATTTTGTATTGATGATAAATTAGGAGGATAACCATTATCTGGTTTCCTAAGATAAATAGATTTTAATCAGTGATACAGTCCTCTGGTCTTTAATGTACAATGTCTATTGGACATCTATAAATGAAGATATTAATCATGGTGAAACACGAAATTGACACTATTTCAAAGATCAGAAGCTATACAGATTATAAATTTGTCTTTAATCTTCTTGGTAGGAAGAAATTCTTTATTGTCAACTCAATGGTGCATCACAGTAAGAACAAGTGATGTGTCTTTTTATGTTGTAATGTTACACTACTGTTTCAGGTTAGGGTGAAGGTTGGCACCTGTTAAAACGTTTAAACCCACTGCATTTGTATGCACCTGTCCTAAGTCAGGAACCTGTTGTTCAGTGGTTGTCGTTTGTAGATGTGGTGCATAAGTGTTTCTCATTTTTTATATAGATTAGACCATAGGTTTTCCTGTTTGAAATGTTTTACACTAGTCTTTTTGGGGCCCTTTATAGTTTGCTGTTTGGTGTGAGTCAAGGCTCCATGTTGAAGGCCGTCCTTTGACCTATAATGGTTTACTTTTTACACATTGTGACTTGGATGGAGAGTTGTCTCATTGGCACTCGATCACACCACATTTTCTTATTTATATTGTCTGTCCATTTTCAGTTAATGTTGTCTATTGGTTTGTTTTTTAATTACTTAATGTGGTACCAAACACCTTGACTAAAATTAATTTGCCTCGTTTAATTTTCATTAAATTTTGACAAAATATTTACCTTGACCCTTTGACAAAAATATAAAAATTTCAAAAAACTTGAACCACACACTTTATCGGAAACATTTCATTGGATATATAGCAGTTTGACAAACACTAATCTTGATGATTGCGAAGCTTATTATTTCCTTAACAATAGAACGTGATAAAAACGTTCAGCTGATTTTTACAGAGTTATCTCCCTGAAGTGTTATGTACCACCTTAAAGTGCACCATGTAAGTTATAAAATTATTCTATCATGTCATCCTCTATGCTCATTCTAACATGGGTAGGCATTATATTTTATACTTATTGACTGGGTATGAGTGGAATATATAGTAAGTTTATTGTCCCCCCAGGTGCAACTATTGCCCTGAGGCGTAGCTGAGGGCAATAGTTGTATCCAAGGGAACAATTAACTTACTATTCCTAGAATATACAGTCAGTAAGTGTTTTATTATACCGAAAGATACAACAGACAATAAATGTCGGGGCTAAATCAACTATCGTAATATAAAAAGCAGAAACACAACCATACTGTTTAATGTTTACTTCATCTAAGGCTACGTACCGCACTGACGTCAACCCTAGATACAATAGGTAAAACGCGACATCGTAACTCTCGCAGTATTCTCAAAACATCCTCCAATCTCGTAGCTGCAGTTGAAATTCAGAGAAATATAATGACGCTTGTGGTCAGATAGTTTCATCGAGGGCAAATAGTTGGAAACTATTGAACGGTCAAATAGTTAAATGCATGCAATTTAAAAAATAGTGAAAATATTGTGTCCTTATTTTATATAGAAAATGATAACTTGAGGTATAATAATTGTTAATATCTTTTTACCGAGTGTCAGTGTGATCATGAGATGTTAAATGTTGACAAATATAATGCCTACCCACGTTAAAATGAGCATAGAGCATGGCATGAATCCATGATAGGTCATTTTAAGGGCAATAACTCTAATAAGAATTCAACTAACAATTTTGGCCATAAGAATTATTTGTAGATCTGGTCTTGCTGATCACTTTTGGCTTTTTAAAGTTTTTATCTGTCTACTTTATATTTTAAAATACTAGACAAAATCGAAAAAGTGGTAAAAATCGTCATTTATATGCAATAACCACCAATAAGGAGTCTTCTGAAGATTTCAACCATGTGAAGACTTATTTGTAGATCTTGTCTTGCTGTTCACTTTTTCTGTTTAAAGTTTCTTTTTATCTATTATAGTTTTCAAGATTATAGACAAAACAAGTGAATCTGTGAGCTACTGCTCACTACTGATACCCCCGCCCCGCTAAAAGTATAAGGTAAACAGGAAGTTGTTGAGTGATGAATCTGAAAATGCAACACACCGTATATCTGACTCATATAAACCCTGAAACCAAATTTCAGAAATCCTTGTAATGTAGTTCCTGAGGAAGATGAGACGAAAAATATTCATGGGACGGACAGACGGACTGACGGATGGACTG